CATCAACATCAAATTCAACCAATCGATCACCATCTCAACAACAACAAGCACCAACAAATGAACAAGAAAAATTTGCTTGTATTCTACTAAAACTACCCGATGTACGTTTGATTGGAAATGATTTAAAGAAATTTTTACAATTAATTGATCGTAAACATAACGGAAAACTTCTTGACGGTTGTTTACTTGGCGAAATGCTCAATGGTTTACAATCGAATAATTAAATTTACTATTTAATCATTACACACGTGTGTGTTTTTTTTTTCTTTTTTTTCTTTTATCACTCAGGTCCAACATTATTCTCTAGTTCTCTTTATTCATATATTTGTTTAAAGAGATATTTGTACAGTCTTTTTATTTGTTGTTTCAAACATCAACTTTTTTTTTTCTTCTTCTTTTCTCAGTCACTTTTGAATAACAGTGTTCGTAAGAAAAGGTACAATAGCCATATATAGAGAAAAACAGTGACATATGCTATCTCTTTACATCCTTCTTTTTAATCCGAGAGTTGTACCATTTTTTTTTCGTTTTCTTTTTTTTGGCTTCATTTTTCTGCTACTTTGCATTATTCTTTTAAAATTTTAATAGTTGTTTGCTTTTCTTTTTCGTTTTTTTTTGACCGACTAATTGATCGACGACTCTACAAAACAGGCAGATGTTTGGCGAAATTCACGATATTTGTTGTGTTTTTTTTTTCTTTTTCGATAAAAGAAATAAGGAGTTACATATTTAATATATATATAAATATTGATTATTATCTAAAACAAAACATAAAAAAAAATCCTTTTTTTTCTCTCTCTCTCGAACTCTATCGTATTCGAGATATAATCTATGCAGTATATACATTAATCTATAGGACTCTCTCTCAGGGATAAACAAGTAAAATCGTCTTTTTTCTTTTTCTTTTAAATAAGATTTCGGATCACTTAGAGCCTGGTCTTCTGTTTTTTTTAATTATTATTGTGAACACCATGTGTATTGCCACTTGTGTGTATACAAATATTTTTTGTGTGTATGCGCGTTTGTTTGTTTTTTTTTGAAAAGAAGAATAAAAAAAAAGGAAAAAATATAAATAATAATAATATTATTAGTTATAAACGTAAGTCTGGTTTGAGTTTATTGACAGAACGAATGATAGCTTCATTCTAAATATAAACAAGAAAAAAAACGTGATAGATAAAGAATACAAATAACGTTGATTGTACTGTATTCGAATAACACAATACTGATTTTTATATATTTCGAAATACTATTACAGATAGAAACGTGTCAAATTAAATTTTTGTCAACGATATTTAATTTCCGTTTTGGTAAATATTACTTATACAAAGTGAATTTTCTTCGATTCATCAGGTAATTCAGAAAAACAAGATATTAATTTCTATCGTGTAAAACTTTTGTTGAATACAACTAAATAGCAAGACGTCGATATACATAAGCAGCTTTATATCTAAGTTATATTATAATTCATTCGGAGAATCACAGACAATTTGTTTCTATATTTAGTATAGTTTCGAACAAATTAATTTCCTCTAATCTTGATTCTATTTTGAGAGAATAATAAATATTTCTGTAATAGCTTTTAAATTAATAACTGAAACGTCATTTCTATAGGAAACTATACACATTATTATTTACAGTAAAAAAAAAGAATATTTTAGTATCCTACATTTTCAATAGCATATCTTTACGTACATGAAAAACAAAATTGCCATATTTATTATAGACAAAAGAAAAGGTCAAAATACGGCCTATCAATCAAGATAAAAATAAGAGGATTTAATAAGGCATATTTCATCAGTTATTTGATTATCTATAATATTAATATTAATCTTAATTTATAAAAAAAAACTGTATAAATCTTGTATTCGGAAAGCCACAAATATACCTAGATTACTCAATTCTTATTTTTGTCAAATAAATCATAACCCAAATAAAATTATATTATCTCAAGTCTTCATCACTTTAAATCAATGTGTATAAATATAGTAGAGTGTTTATATTAATATTCTAGTTAACATCTATATAAGTTAAAACTACTATTCGATCGGATATGACATAAATTCCCTAAGGTATCATTCAATGCATGCTAATAGAATTTTTTATTCATTACAAACAAAAGATGTCGAGTAGATTAAAATCTATTACTATTCGATTTCCTTAACAATTTTGTAATTTTAAAAAGAAAAATTCTATCAATTAATTTTTTTTAAAATAAAATTAATGAAATCAACCTGTAGACAATATTGAAGAAAATCTTCTTTATATACAAGACCATTTCCATTTCTATCCCAATTCTAAAATATTTAATAATTAATTATATATGTATATTTACATATATATATATTACAAACATGAAATAATTGATTTGTTCGTTCTTCGATGGCATTTGTAATGGATGTGTAATTGAGTTTACAAACCGGAACAATAAGCTGAAAAACTGATGCAACTAATTGAAGTAATTCCTAATGATGATGTAATTAGACATATATATATATTTCTTTTTGTTACAAACTATTCTTGTTATTTTTCCATCTTTATTTAAATCATATAAATCAAAAATCCAATTAAGACGATCTTCAATTGAACCATGAATTAATATTGCAAATGTTGCAACAAGATCTTCGAATCGAATTGTACCACTATTGGATCGATCAATATTTCGAAAAAGAAATACGGAATAACGATAACATTCTACAGTAATAGAAAAATGTGTTATTATCTTAGATAATAACAAGGAAAAAAACATACCACCAGTTGGAAATAATGTTGCAATAATCGAGGCAAAATGCTCTTTACTGACTTGACCCGATGGACTATCCTGTTTTACTACGGAAATAGAATAAATAAATCTAACAAAAAATGATTTACTTGTTTAAATGTTCGATAAAGATGACGTATTTCGTCCTTTGAAAAATTTGTTTTTCTCATTAATTCCGTTATTGAGCAAGTTGGTCTTGATATTGGAGAAATTGCTGAATTATTTTCTATAAATAAACATACACATCTATGTAATAATTATTTTAATTACTTTTTTTTTGTTATTAAGAAAAATAAATAAATAAATAAATAATTTTTTTTACTTGGTGAAGATGTTTTAAAACTGACATTCAATCGTCGATTTTTATTAAGTGCTTGAATTGATGTTTCAACGGCTTGCCACATCTGTATTTTTCTTGATTATTGTTTATATATCTGTCTATGTTTAGCAATCAGAAAAAAAGACTGATTCTTATTATACGAATATATATATATATATATATATATGTCTGTGATCAATAAAGAGAATAAAAGCGGAAAAAGAAAGGATCTCTTGAGAAATCAAGCGTATTATAATGAAAAGATTAATGTAAAAAAATTATCTCTTACCATTTTCACCCTTGTAATTGTCGCTATTACCACCTCCACCTGCAGATCGAACGGCATTCATTAGTACAAACTAAAGTAACATATGATTTGCTATTAACAATAAAAATAAAGAACAATAATGGTTGTAATACTTTTTTTTTTCTCTAATGCTATATAAACTCCGCTAGTTTTTTCTTTTCTTCTCTTTGCTTTTTAAGAACCACCTTTTGTTGTGTTATGCGTTATGTTTGCGTGTCTCCATTTACTGCATGTAGCATTTCCGTTCTAAAAGCTTTGAATTGTGTGCATTTCTTCTTCTTTTTTTTTGTATACTCTGAAATAATGATTGTCTTTCGTATAAACATAAACTAACAATAAATTCAAGAATGTATATTAAATGATCCTAATTATATTTCTTTTCTTATATATTTCCTTAATAATAATCATAATAATAATACTATGCCCTGGATTTATTCATTGTCTATTGTTGAATTAGTTAAAAAAAAAGAAGCTAATCGAAAAAACATGTGTTTACATATAGTACTGGTCATATTAAAGGAAATAATAACATTTGCTTATGGTTTTATCTTGGCTCAGTAGAGAAAAGGTTACGTGTAAGTAATTCTTGTTGATACTTGGATATATATATATAATAATATCGATGCGTTCATGCATATCTTGTATGTTAGTGAAAATGTTAAACGATATGATAATTGTTGCAACTAGTATTGATGAAAAACGAGATATGATAGGAAGACGGAAACGTCATTAATGTTTTCCATCAAATACACAAACTTGTTGACAAAGGCCAAACATATACGATCTATATTCGTTATATTTAACATCTACTTAGCAAACAGAAAACATTTTCCTCAATAATAGTTAGTTTTACAAAAGAACGAAAATATCATTCTATACTTTTTAATTGATATTTATGTTATGTACTAGTTATATAAAGATTTGCAGATATATGTATAAAAAAAGACTTCCTATGATTTATTTAAAGATATTTTAGTAATTTCTTTAAACCTATATTTTTATTAGATTTGATACTAAATGAAAAATATATCTCCAATTGCTTTGTATTTCAATAGTATATTATTATCAAACGTTTAAAAGATATGATGCCCGGTAAAGTAAAACCGATTTGTCTAGCTCTTTTCAATTCATATTCTATATCGGTAATAAGAATAGACGTGTATGAAAAAAACAAAATCGATAGTCGTTACATTTCTTTTTCTCGAAAATTTCTATGAAGTAAAATTATTTTACTAGTTTTTTTTTTCATAGAACTTCTTAATAGAATGTTCATTATAATATGCTTGTTTCAGGACTTTTTAATCTATTGATCATAAACTAACAAATGACTTATGTATCTGCCATTCTTTATCTGATTCACTGTTTATTTCTATCAAAATTTCGATCAAAATAATACAATCAATGCAATATACATACCGAATATCTGATGTCAGTAAGTAATGGATAAAAGTATGCAATCAAGATAAGATAATCGAAATGCCAATGTCACAACTTTCCTGGATTTTTTTTCCCGCAAATTAACGAAGTAATAGATATTCATACGTCGGAAAAATAAACGTCCGACATATCCAATAACTTGACTGGTAGGGTTCTAACGCATATATAATTAAAGTCTATTCCTGCTGAGATATATTCAATAAAAAAAAAGAGGATACTCATTTATTTGTTAATTCAATTATTTTAAAGTGAATAATTAACATTTCGAATTTAAGAATTTCGATAAACAAAGATAATAAATGCTAATAAAATAAATCTATCACTTGTCTTTTTCAATTATAAAGATAGAAAGCATAACATAATATTTTTCTTTGTATTTCGATTATTATTTGTTTATTTTTGTATATATTAAAAATAATCGATAAAGTTTTTCTTTTCAAAAACCAATAAACTATTTATTAGTTGTCATATTCAATAAATTTATAGAGAAAAAGAAGAAGCAAAAACTATCGATCGAATATCATTTATTTATTGGTTTGAGTGGTTATACCTTGAAATGCCATGACTGATGTATGGTAAGATAGAAACATGTTCTCTCATTTCACAGTTATATAATTCTCCAGAGAAGATATAACAACTCAACAATGTAAGATTACAAAATGACGAAAAATCTAGTCAGATCAATTTTGATCATCATAAGAAGAAGAAGAAGCAAAAAAAAAGCATGAAATACTTATTGATTGTTCACTATATTCACATAATTAAGACTAGTTGATTGTTTGTAATTGATATGATAACAAAATATAGTAGGAAATTCTCAACCAGACTATTATATTATATTTGACTAAGCATAATAATAAAAACGGGAAGAAAAAGATATAAATTATGAATAGGATATTGTCTATTCGTTAATTAACTTATGGAAATGCTATCGTTTTAGAAGAAAAAGAAGACGACAACGAAGACAACAACAACAACAACGGAAAAGACATGCGAAACAAATCACTTTCTATTGAAAAACACGTATATATCGTTTAGTATAGAGTGCCAATCAAGGAAAAGAAGCAATGAGAACAACATCTGTTTGACATTGAGAAACAGAAAAAAAAGAACCCAAGGAATAGATAAATGGAAGTTTATCAACAAAACAGTTATTGACGATATTTCTACAAGGGAAAAAAAACACAAGAATAAACTGTTTGTAACAAAACATATATCTAGATAAACATTGCATCGTTTGATCATTGCCTGACAATTACTACAATAATAAAGTATTGATAGAATTGGATAAGAAAGTGTTTGTTTTATTTAAAACAAAGAAAAAAAAGAAGAAGTCCATGTATAATCATCAGGATAAATTTTGACAATATACAGAATTGTATCTGCATATTACAACTGTGTACAAATTAGCAGAAGTAAAGAAGATAAATGATGTTGAACAAGAACGATATGACACATACATATATTTATATGTATATATATACATCTGGCTTTCATATATCTGTATATAATACTATACTCACGTTAATATTCTTTTAAAAGTTATAGATACTCTTTGATTTGTATTATTATATGAATATAATCTTTAGAAACCATTGTGTTTGTTTTTGATTGTAAATTGAATATGAAAAAAGCTGTATGTGTGAATTTTATTTGCACTGTTTTCTATAATATCTGTCTCGTTTTGTTTTTTTTTATTATTTTTTTTCTCTCGTTCATGAAAGCTCATTATCATGCATACGCGTGACAAAAACGGAAGAACGAAAAAAAAAAGAAAAGAACAAAGAATCAAAGACAAGACTGTACAAAATACAAAGTACGGTCACTCATTCACATATCATCTCGGCCACCATTATTCGTATCGAACAGGCGTACACTCACTTGTCTTCCACCACCTTGACCACCTCGCGATGATGATGGCATAACTGCTGATGATACATTAGATCCAGCTGTTGAGCCAGCGCCTACACCTCCGCTGCCTACACGTTTATAAAATTGCCATAATTGTTGGATTAGTTCAGTGACAACTAAATCACTTGAATTATAGGCAAGAAGTCTTAGTATAAGTACGCCATCATGTTGTAAATAACGATGTATAAATTCTTTTGCTGGCATTCGTCGTAAATGTGTGTCACTTTGCATTAATTCTAGACGTTTTTTTATATAAGCATAACGTACACGACCAAATGAACGGACGAGCCATGCTAATAAATCGTACGTATTACATACAGTTAAAAAAGCAAGCCAAAACCAAATGAATAAAAATGCTTTTTCATTAAATAGATTGATTGGTAGAACACACTAGAATAAAATTTTTCATTAATTTTAATTAATTTTACTATTAAATATTACCTGTACGGTATGAACATGAACATTTTGTATATTTCTTACAGCAAATTCACACATAGTTACACGTGGAAAATAAATTGATTCAGCAAGTTCTTCTCCATTTAAAATTTTTCGTATTAAATCAACTCCATAGGAAGCAAAATTATGACCCAAAAAGATATTTAACAAAAATAATTGCCCAACAGAATTGGCAATAAATAAAAGTTTGGTGACAAAAAAAAGTATTAACAAATATGAACCCATACGACGTCCGGGTACACATAGCATAAATGCAAGAAAACGACGTATAAAATCAAAACGTTTACGTTTTCGTTTACGCATATAAACATATTGATCAATTGAACGTGTTAGATAAGTCATGATTTTATTACGATCTTCAAAACGATCTGCTGTTTGATAGTTTAATGCTGCATCGACTAAATTAACTATATTAATACCTGATTTAGCTGATAAAGAACGCCACAACATTCGTGGCATATAAAATAAAACAGCTTGAAAAAGTAAAATAAATGGAGTCCACTGGTAATACTAAAAATATTAGGGAAAAGAAAAATTAATTTAAATCTTTTTCCATAAATCTCTTTTTTTTGCTCTTTACCTTAACAACACGGGTTTTTTTCTTATTTTCGTCTAAAGGTAAAGTTTCAGCAGTTGCAACATAATACGTATTGGATACCCAACATATATTATTTGAATAAACTTCGTATGAACGTGTGAAATGTCCAGGTACCCAACACGCAATATGATCGGATGAAAATTGTTTATTTGAAACGATTATTGAAAAAATGACTAAGATAATAACTGTATATTTATAATTTAAACGATCGACTGTACATGTATCACTACGATGTGATCCGAGAACAGAGAATGGTAAACGTGATACAGTAGCAAATAAGTCCATGATAACCTTCTTTAATTAATAACCTAATTAAACAATGACAACGTTTGGATGCCATGTGTAGTCGACATGAACATAACATTAGTATCAACGA